ATGGTTGACATACCGTCACTTTGATCACAGAGCCTGGATGATCTGATTCTTGAGCTTCAAATGAGCGACGTGGCACCAGGAGTCCGTTCAGTAGAACAAACTCAACCAATCTGTCGCCAATTAAGCGAGCATCGGGAAAGCCATAAACCACAGATCATGTCATAATTGAGTGGAACAGATATTCCCGTACCTAGTTTGCGATCAAAGAACGGGTTTCCCCTCTTTGTCTGAAGACATGGCGCTGATGTTGACTTCGCCAAACCCCTCACTGCAAACTTAACAGCGAACGCATGATGCGGCTGGAGCATAATCCCCAATTGGGAGCGCCTCCTTTCAGAAACAACTCCGCCTCAACGCTGGGACACGAAAAGAAAGGCACAGACGAGCTTGTACGCCTTACAACGCGCAAGCTTTGTTACCCCGGATGTGAGGTCGAGCTGATACGTGACACAGCCGCACAGGTGCTCTTGTTTCAAGCGAGATGACAGCTGCGCCGCAAACTTTAATGCAAAAGATCTTGTGTTACGCGGAGTTCTTGGCAGGGTAAAAGTGCGAGTTGAGTCCATGGTCGTCAGGGGCATTGACAATGAAGATGGTGATTATCGATAAGAAAACTGTCTCGGTTTCGGATAGACGCGAAAAAGAAGCATACCCGTAGCGTGAAAGTCAATGCCTAGCAGCTTGAAGAGACACTGCCTGTGCGTGCAGCTTGATGCATGTCTCATCATGATATGGATGATCATCCTTTGCATACAAGTAAAGAGTCAAGTGAGCCATTAGAGAGACTGGCAGGATCCTTGGCTGCTGTAGTTACAGCTCAAGGCAGGCAACAAAGGCCAACAATCTCTGATAGACTCATCATCTTTGACCAATCTCCCTGCGAACTGTAAGCTAGACGTTATGCATCAATTACACTTCGAAACCGTTTTCTCCCAACACTCAAAAGCGTTTTCTCTCGGCAGCTTCATGCCGAACGGTAGACTAAAATACCACATGGCTCACTCAGCCCCTTGGACAACGACTCGCACTAAAGAAGCATCTCCAATCTGGATATCTTCCGAAACCGACATCAAAGCTTAACCGCGCGTCAAAAAGAAACTGTAAGGCTTAGGGCTTAGCTCGTAGTTATAATTGTCGTTGTCGTTGTGGTGATCTGCCATATACGCGTATATCCAGCCCCACATTCTCGAGATCTACGCTATTCAGATCTAGATTCTTCACGTATAACTCACCTCCGCGTATAGAGCGTCAACAATTTTATATGTATTTATAGAAAGGGTCTGCTTGGGAAATATTGTTTACACGTAAAGATATGTATATAGTCTCTTCAAGAAAGCCAAGAAATTCTCGAGCTTCTACTCAACTCATTGGCTTTGGCATTCATTTGTTTGACATTTAACAACGAAACACCAAAACTTGACCTCACCAACGTGACTGAGCGCCTCAATAAGTCGACAACCGAGGATAATTCACCATGGCGGGCTATATCTTCTACAACTATAACCCCAATATGGTGGCAGCTGTCATATTTATTGTTGTCTTCGGTCTTTCTGCATTATTACACACATACCAGCTTGTTCGATCACGAACATGGTACTTTATTCCGTTCTTGATCGGATGTCTTTGTATGTGGCCGCCAATTTCCACGCATCGTTGCTTTGCTAACATTGTCTTCAGTTGAGTGTGTAGGCTACGTCGGTCGAGCTCTATCAGCGCAAGAAGCACCAGACTTCACCAAGAACCCCTACATCATCCAGTCTCTTCTCTTGCTGCTCGGTCCAGCCCTCCTCGCCGCATCGATTTACATGGTACTCGGCCGTCTCATTCGACTTCTCGATGCTGGCGACCTTTCCATTATTAGCCCCAGATGGTTGACCAAAGTCTTTGTTGCTGGAGATGTCATGTCCTTCCTTGCACAAAGTGCTGGTACGTACTCCAAAGCCGTTTAACTTCACATTACTAACAGTCAAAGGTGGTGGTATGCTTGCAACAGCGAAAACTAAGAGCGCCGTCAAGCGAGGTGAGAACATCATCGTCGGTGGCCTAGGCATTCAGATCATTTTCTTCGGCTTCTTCATGATCGTCACTCTTGTCTTCCACCTCCGCATCAACCGCAACCCTACACAAAAATCTCAAGAGATCACAACGCCTTGGAAGAAGCTCCTCTTCGTGCTTTACTCAGCCAGTTTGTTCATTATGGTCCGATCCGTCTTCCGTGTCGCCGAGTACGTCATGGGCAAGGACAGCGAGCTCCAATCGAAGGAGTACTTCATCTACATCTTCGATGCCCTCCTCATGAGTCTCGTTGTGGTTTCCCTCAACGTGTTCCATCCCAGCCGCGTGATCAACCACGAGATGGACAGGAAGCGAATCGTCAGCCAGGATGGATATGCGCTGGAGAGCCAGCTCGAGGGCAGAGATGACAGAGACCGACGATACTCACTCTCACCTGTTCGTCCTAAGCATGCCCATTGAGGGATATATGGAGAAGCGAGCTAGGAGCGGGACGGATTCGGGATTGATATGGACATCGAGAGCTGATGGAGCCAGTGTTTTGAAGCAAGTGGGACTGGTACGATCTTCAGTCAACGTGGGAAGAAAGCGGTAAAACTTGTATAGATGTGAACACTGTTATAGTAGATTTCTTCTGTTACATTGCAAGAAGCAACGTGATTCATAACGAGTCTGAATCGTATCATGCATGGATGTAAAGTCAATGCTTCGCGATGCGCAACATGGATTTTAATACGCTGCATCGTAAAGTGGAACACAACATGATTTGGCATGGTATTTGACTTCCAGTTACAGGTCAACATCGATAAACGATCCATATCAATGGACCCTTCTGCAGAACTCATACGAGATACCATGAGATCATGAGGCTCAAAGTGGCACCTCTCCCAAAGAGACATTCTTCCGTGTCCTGAATCATCACGATGCCCTTCCATGGAAGCAATTTGTGGAGATCAAAAGTCTTGTTCTCATCCCTGGCTGAACAGCGGGGCGTTGCATTCGTTGCAATGAGACATGGATGCATATGAGACATTCAATTCCGAGTATGCGGAAATATGTATGTGAAAGCAAACCTGGTCGTTTGTCGGGGAGGTCGTCGCGGGAACATGGACAATCACGGAGATGGGAATCCAAGCAAGCGGCGTTTATGCCCAAAACAGTCACTATTGACGATGACGAGTTGATTCAGTATTTCGATCATCGCAGGGAGACACTTGTCACACCGGGGGGCATAACGTTAGAGAGTTATTTTCGGGGCCTGAGTTTCTAAACGCGAAATGCGCTGCTGCTGCTGCTGCACCCGATGAGCAAACAACGGATGATCTGACATCTCGAACAGCGAGATCTGGCAGCGGAGTTTTTGATAACCAAGCAATTGACTTTTTCCCTACGTTTTTTTCTCTCTTAGCTCTTCCCAGTTAGCGAAGAACCGTGTTGTTTTTTTTGCCCCGAGAACGTGATCGGAGCAAGCCGAATAACGTGAACGCTCAACGCGTGATATTCGATAACATCGTCGGACCGACGTACATGAAGAGAACCTGTTTGCTGCGCGAATTCTTGGTGCGGGAGAAGGTACCCAATTGTCGATCGACGTGTCTTCTGTTAGGCTTCACCTACTCTTGAGGGCGGGCAAGTCCTACCTGTCTCTGTAGAGAGTTTGCCAAGAGAGGGAGATCTCATTCTGGAGTGGAGTCGCACTGTGAAGCTGAGGCTTTAGCGTGGTCCAAACAGACGTCGACGTGGCACAGTGTTTATTTAGGTGGCTATGAGAAGGAGGCTGCCTCAAGGAACTTTGTCTGTATCGTTGTTGATGGGTTTCCCCTCACTTCGACGAGTCTGTTGCAAGCCATAACTCAATCTCAGTATACGCTGAGGTCGAAGCCAGACAGCCCCTCACTTCACTTGACTATTAATACTGACGCTCAGTCGGCCATTTTCTCCTCAAGATTTGCCTATAAGTAACGCTCTCGGCCAACCTTGTTGAAATGCTCCAAGCCTGGGCGGTCTCCACCCCCGTTCAAACTATAGGTCGCTAAACCAAGTTGCACTGTCCCATCGGGTATGTACTCTCTGGGCTACTGCACTGTCCATGCCTGCTAATTTCTCTGCTGGCTAGTCCCCTTTTAGCTCCGTCGCCCGTTCGCCAGTTCGGTTGGCTGCTTGTTCCTTGGCCTCTTCAAGACGGGTGGTACGAGTAAAAACTGGATCTCAAGGTCACCCTCCAGCAAAGTTTTGGTGGCGAAGTACTTTACTCATCCTCCTCTTGTGTTCCTCTCGTCCCACCCCAGCGTCAGAGAGTCTTCCGTCTCCCGTCGCTCTGGCTGCAGTTTGCTTGCCCACCCCCGGTCTTCCCTCGAAATCTCCTTCTCTTGCCAAACCCGCTTCTCACCTCATCTTCTCTTCTCGTCTTCCCATCCCTTCCCTGACCTGATCTCTCTCTTCTATCCACACTTTCCCTTTTCCTCCTCATACAACCAGCCAAAAAAAACAAAACACCAAACGAATTCGATATACCGCAGATTTACGACCCCTTAATCAACCTGTCCAACATCAAAGTTTTCTGCAATTTTGACTCCTGGTCACCCCGAACAACCCCCCGCATTATGGTCCAAGGCGAAAGGGCCGAATAACACCTGCACCTCGTCTCCTGGAATCAAGCCAGCCCTTCCAATCTCCCATATTCCCCCCGCCCACCCGGTCGACCGACTACCAAGTCGCCCCGAATATACCTTCGACGACACCTCTTATCGTGGTCCCCCGCAAAATCCCCAGACTTTTGGCTTGCTGGCTGCTTGCCATTTCGTCTCCCCCGCGATATCATAATCTAAATACCCCCGAGCTCGACTCTCTAGTCTCAACGACCCTCGAGCTTATCGTACTTCCTTGGTATCATCGTCTAAGGAAGTTAATCGTTCTTGTCGTCGCCTGCCCCGACGACCCGCCTCGGCCGTTGATAACTTTCTTTGATACTGACAAGGAAACGCACAATGTCAACGGCATCAAAATCAGCAATGACTGCTGTAAAGAGGGCCTGCGATGGCTGCCATCGTCGCAAGGTCAAGTGTGATAGTGGTATCACTTGTCGCAACTGTGCAACTGCTGGTATCGAATGCACATATCTCGCTATTCCTCAGAAGAAGGGTCCCAAGGGTTCTCGCGCAAAAGTCATCACCGAATTGAGAGACAACCAACGCCAGGCCAGTCTTGCTGCCAAGGTGCAAAACAGACTCGCTGGACAAACTGTTGACACTACCATTCCTGCTCTCAACCCTACAGCTGGCATGTTGTCCAACGACCTGATCAAGGCTTGTGTCAACTACTACTTCGAAAATGCTTACTCCACACTCCCTTTCCTCGACCGAAACCAAATCGAACATATGATGCTAAATATGGAAGTTGGCCGTGACAGGTACTGTCTGTTTGCAGCTCTCTGCGCATATGTAGTACTTCAGCCTGGTATGATGCTGCCAGCTTCATCGGCAGAAGAGTCCTTCAGCCTTCAGAACCATCCCGGCGCCAACATCGCCGCAAGCAGTTTGCTTCTTGAGGAGTGCCTGCGCGTTCGAAAGGGCTCTGACTATTTTGAGACACCAAACTTCAACATTATGGTCACTAACATTTTCATCTACTCCTGTATCAAGATAATCGACGGACCAGACAGAGCGTGGTACTACCTACGAGAGGCCACAACTATGGCTCTCCTTGCAAACATGGACAAGGAAGAAAACTATTCCCAGTTCTCTCAAGCTGAGGGTGTCCGAAGACGCCGATTTTTCTGGTTCTTGTTCGCCACTGAGCGCGTCTACTTTTTCAACCGCCGTCGACCCTTGTCCCTTTATGCGACAATCGCACCTAGCCAGATGCACGACGACCCCAATGATGCCTTGTATCCTGAGCTTCAAACCTTTTTCATCATGTGCAACATCTTCCGACCTATGGACGACTCTTTCCTGGCCGCTTGGAGAAAGGGTTGCGACCATCTCGACTGCCATCAAATTACTGGTCTCAAGAATCACCTCAAGGAGTGGCAAGCGACGAACCCCTACCACCCCGACACTGCCTACATGGCCAGTCAACAATTCCTCAACAATGCAATTTGGCAGCTTAACAACAACCAAAATCAATACCATAGCGATCTGGCGCGGCAAATGACCAGCAAGATGGCTTCTTCTTTTGCGGGCCAGCCACTTGAGCTTGCTAAGTCCTGCCTGGTATGTATTATATGCCATGTTCGAATAACACGCGTCTAACAATTTCACAGTTCCCCAAGCTACTCGAAATCTGTCTCAACTTGACTACCTATTTGGCTAACATGCCCTCGGATCGACACCCATTGGCCGTGGGCCCTCACCAGTGGCTCCAGGATCTCTACGCCTCTCTCGACCCTGCCCGAAATGGCGACTTTGCATTTACTCCTCTCTTGTTGGCCAAGGTCAACGAGATTCTTCCACGTCTGGCCGACCCACTGCTGCGAAACGCCCCAGAGAACGGCTCTTTCCAGATGTCTGCTGACATCTTCGACGGTTTTGGTAATGCCGGCATGGCTAGCATGCCACAAATGAACGACTTCAACCAAGGCATGGTCGTCGATGAGAACGAGACCAAGTACGATTTGAGTGGCAGTAGTCCTGACACAATTCCCAACTCCAATTACTCGAATGGTACACCCCCTGGTACGCAGCCAGGTAGTGACATTGCTTCGGCATTTGTTGGCTCACCTGCTAATGTCATGTCACCTGGCATCGACTACAATGTTGCTAACGTGGGCATGGGCGGTTTTGACATGTCTGAAATGAGCATGAATTCATTCACAGCCTCTCAGCCCAATCCACTGAGCAACATACAACACCAACAACGTGTTGGAAGTCAACCGCCCTTACAGGGTCTACAGAACCAGAATGTCAACAGTTCAACCATGAACCCAACAATAAACTCGATATATGGTATACAACAACCGCAGCGGCAGAACAGCTATCAGATGCAAAACCAAACCCCCTTGTCGCAAATGGGGTCAATGTCTGACATGGACTTTTCAATGCGATAACCACACCAAATTTAAAAACATGCTGCCTCGGTCGAAATGCCTGGGCAAGCCTTGTATGCATTTTTTCGTTCTCTTCTCTGGAATTACTATGACATGGGCGCACAATACAGCGTCTCTTGGACCTTGCATTGTATTTATCTTGCGAGCAAGTTTCTGTCTGCGGATCGAATGGAAACCGGAGGTTGGCGCTTTGGAGTTTTGGATCATCTATCCTTACAAGATAAGGGATGAAGATCTTGTTATGCTTGTTATGTGGTCAAGTGACTTGGATCGGGGATTCCTGAAAACAAATATTATGCTATGGAAAGTTTTACATTGATGGTGTTATGCACACTCTTCACTTTGTGGTTATAGAATTATGAATCAAAACTTTACTCTATTCACTTTATTTTGAACTTCTCACATTGTGCACTGAACCAGTTTCGCATGAGCATTAGTTCGGCTACTTCGTTTGTGATTGTATAGATTTAATTGTAAATTCTGGGTATTTTGCTGGTATCTTTGTTTTCGTTCTGTAGGTATCGTAACGCCAAAGTCAACCCCGTTCATTCATAATTTCGTGACCAAATTCCCAACTCTCATCAATGCTAACGTCTCGCAGTCACAGACCGCACAGCTAGCACCTCTATCCTCGCAGCATACAGACTCATTAGATGGCATACGGGATCTCCCCAAATAACACTCCTCAACCTCTCTTCAGAGCACGTCACTGCTACAACTCCCTCGTCGAGACGCTCTCGCACCGTCTTGCGATCTTTGGGCTTGGCGTCGAGGTCCCCTGAACGTAGCACCACGATACGGCCTGCGTTGCTCAGCGTGCATGGGGGGACGTTCCATGTTGGTTTCTTGCGTGATTTCTTTGGGTCTTTTCGTTGTGATGGTGGTGGCGAAGCGAGTAAGTCAAGAAGACTTTTGACGTAGGCTTTGTCGGCGCGGACAACGGGATCTCCTTCGTTGACAAAGCTCAGGAAGATGCTCTTTCTGAGAGCATGAGTTTCGGGCTTTGCCAATGGGAGGAGAGACACTGGTGGTGCACCGAATGTAACGCAATGTATTCTCTTGAAGCAATTTGTCAAGACGTTGAGTTCACTCTCTGCCGCGTTCGTCTGGGCTACCATGTGCGAGTATAGCAACGCCGCAATAGCACCACCAGCCGAATGCCCCGTGATCAAAAGACTGAACGTCGAGCGTTTGGGATCGTCTTGAAGAAGCTGTCTCAACCTTGCGGCCACCGGGCGAACCATCTTCTTAGCGACGGAGAGAAAGCCCGCGTGGCACAAGTTTCCGGGATCGTCGAGGAAGTTGAGCGGGCTGATGGGTGCAGAATTCAGATTAACGGCCCAATCCATGAAACTTGCTGTACCGCGGATAGCGAAGACGATGGTGTTCATGTCGTCCATGGATACGGACTTGATGCAGGTCTGTCTGGGACCAGCGAGCCAGTCGGATGAGACGTGGGCGTCTCGTTCGGTGCCGCGAGGTCTTTCGTAGACGCGCTGGGAGTACTGAGCTGCAAGACAAAGGAGGGGCCATGTTGGCATGTGCCTACTCTTGTTAGTAAAGAATTGAAGCTTGGAGACTATACATACAGAGATAGTGGTGGTAGTGTTAGCGGAAGCTTGGAGTTTGCGTATTGCTCGACTTTGGAGAAATAATTGCCCGACACGACAGACGCAGCAACATTGCATGAGGACTTTTCCTTGTTCTTCACCTTTCCCATGCCCTTGCCGACTTGATCCGTCTTTGGCTCCTGATCTGTGACAGCGCAGTTGAAGAGCGTACTCTCATTGCCCTGAACCTTCTCGTGATCAATAAGCGTCATGATATCGTTAAACCGATCATACAGCGCATTCGTCGACTGAGCAATCTGCGCACATCCATGCCAAGCCGATAGCCCATCGTCGTAGAGCTGTGGTGGAATTGATTCCTTGGCCAGATTCACCATTGAGCCTGTGAAACGGTTCAACGACGACGAGAGTGTTTGGTGTGAGTTTGTGGTGGCTAGATGATGCGGCGGTGTAAACGCAGACAAGTTGGGATGCGATTGCTGCGATCCGAGGTGATAGTGATTGTTGATCACCACCGGTTGAGTGCTGAAGCCCGGCGGTGCTGGGAGATAGCCAGCGGGCTGAAAGTGAGGCTGTGATTGAGATGCATGGTGCTGATTATACGGAAGAGCAGGTCTCAACGCCGGACGCCCATTTCCAGGATAAGGCGGCGGTTCAATCTGCGGTCTCGCAGGACGAAAGACATTAGGAGGATCTGTTATCTTGGGCTTAGAAGAAGCTATCGTTTTATTGGTCTTCGTGCCCTTCTTGGACTTCTTGCTCGACTTCTTGGGCTTCGTGCTACCAAAAAGCCAAAAGGCCATCGTGACGTGGGGGGAGGGGTTTCAGGCGCGAGTAGGAGGGTTTATTTACATGGCCATCGAGGAAAGTGAGAAAAGTAACAGTAAACAAAGAGTGAAGAAGATGGCGAGAATCATGAGAAAGGTCACTCACACATGACCCAGACCCAGGCCGAGGAAAGATATTCTTAGCAACAGCTCTCATTGAGTGCTTTGCGCAGCGGGGCCTTCTCAGCCCGGTCGATCATTCCCCTGTCGAACTGTCCACGGTCAGTATAACCAGCACAGCCATTCCCTGTAAACACGAGAATAGTGGTTGAGTTATTCTGTCCCGCAGATAAGAAAGCCCTTAGCGAACCTCACTAAAGAAGCGAAAGCTGCTGCACCCCTGTAAACCAACCGCCATTCGTCAAGCGCTAACCAATCAGTGGCATACAGCCAAGGATGACTCTAAAGAGCGAGGACATTGGATGGAGGTGCAGCTGAATGCAGCTTTGGTAACTGGGATCAGTCGAGTCGGCGGCAACGGGGGCCTCGGGGGGGCAAGAAAACAGCGAACCTTACTGTAGGGTGTCAAAATAAATTTAGCAAAGATCATCCTAAGCTTAGTATATACCCTAAACTTAATAAAGATATCCTAAATTTATACTAAATTACCTAAGTATTTTTGTCATTTAGGATCGAGGTCCTGTGTTTTCTTTCCTCCCCTGGGGGGATAACCCTATGGCTGGGTGACTCGATGATTGCACTGCATTGTCTGAGGCGAAGATTAGGATAGGGTATGTGAAATTGCGAATTGCATGAGTTGGGAATTGGAGTTTGAGACATTGAAATGGGGATGACGTGATGGAGTTGCAGTTGGAGGTGCCCAAAGAATGCCTCCTTGAGAGCCTCGTCAGGCGATGCAAATCATCAGCCTCATGGCAAGTCCCATCCTCAACTTTTTTTTTTGTCTCAATACAGAATCATCAATTCTTGCACCATTTAATCCTGGAATTTTGCTTACAAAATGCGGCTTTTGAATGTCGTCGACGAACGACTCGAGAGCTTCTTTGGCGACGAGAATGAGATCCCACCCTATGGGATCCTGTCGCATCGGTGGGGGAAAGACGAAATCACCTTTCAGGACTTAACACAAGGGTCGCTACAGGACTTGCAGGGCCGTCAGTCATTCTTAAAGATCTGGGATCTTCTTGACCGGGCCGACAAAGATGGTTTATCCTATGTTTGGATCGACACATGCTGCATCGACAAGACGAGCAGCGCAGAGCTCTCAGAGGCCATCAACTCCATGTTCAGATGGTATCAGCAGTCGGAAAAGTGCTATGTCTATCTCGACGATTTCGACACTTCTTCCAACAGCAAGACTATTCATTACGATCAGTCTGAAAGATATGTCGTCCTCGATGAATCAGAGACTTCTTTCTTCGATAGCCTCTGGTTTACCAGAGGATGGACCTTGCAGGAGCTCATAGCACCGCGAAATGTTGAGTTTTACGACAAGAAATGGGTTAGCTTTGGCTCGAGAGACGTCGCACTTCTCGATCGTATTTGCAAAAGAACTGGCATTTGGCCGCAGTTGTTTCGAGAACCCCGATGTGCATGCCCAAGCGAAAGAGTGCATTCTGTCTTTACAGTTCGCGACGGTATCTGTGCTGGATGTCAAGGACTTGATACCCTCCCTCAGACTTTGGACTCCTTCGCCGTCTCCATCAAAATGAGCTGGGCATCGTCCCGTATCACGACGCGCAAAGAGGATGCGGCCTATTGTCTGCTCGGTCTCTTCAACCTAAACATGCCATTGCTATATGGCGAAGGTGACAAGGCATTCCTCCGTCTTCAAGAGGCCATCGTCCGGCAGTCAAAAGACCAGTCAGTCCTGCTATGGCGCGCTCGGCCTGATGTTGCACCTCAAGGTTTTGCACCCGGCTGTTTGGCTCCTTCATCCAGCGCCTTCAAAGAACCAGTTCACATTCTTGGCCGCCGGGTCTTCAACAGGGTTGACAAAAAGTATGAGGCTAATTTCCTCGGAAATCTGGCTACAATGGAGATCACTGACACCGCTATACGCACCAGCCTGTGGATTTGCCCTTGTAAGGTGGTGCCTGACGGGACACAGACTGCTTCCCGAAATCTCTGGCTGGGTATCATGCATCTCGCATATGACGACGATTACCTTGTGCGACCTGCCTTGCTGCTAGAGTATATGGGAACTGTCAATATGTATCGAAGAGTCTACCATCAGCATATTGTCCCCGTCAATCCCAGGATAATTCGAGGTTCGTTCGTTGTAGAGTCATCAATCGGCGACGTCGATCGACGTCTGTCGCTCACTCTATCTCTTGAAGAGGCCACCAAGAAGGACATCAGCATTCTGCTTCAGCAGAGTCCAATCAACGCAACGGCCGGCCCTTCTCCTGAAGAGGGTCCTGAGACCGGGCCGGTGTATTTCGTTCTGGATAAGCAGAAGCTGGACTTTACCATGGACAGCGGAGGCAGCCACCCTCCTTTCAGCCGTTACCAAGGTCGCGCCACCCAGATACCATCACGCTGGGTTTTTCAGAGGTGCCAGCACAGAGGAGACGGTGAGAGATATTTTGGCGGCATTCACTTTGTTAATTTTATGCTCGAGGTTCCGGCAAGATCAAACTTGAATCAAGGGCCAAATCGACAAGGTGCTGGTCGATTTGCGTATACAGCTGTCATATGGGGTATACATCGCGAAGTGCCCAAAGGGAGAGCCGATCCGTCTCCGTGGCATCTGTGGTGCCGGGTCTTTGATCTTCAAAGCTTCATAGAACACGCCCGGACTTCAAGTGACGATTTACAGCCAAATCAGCTGTATGGTGAGATTGAGGGTCTCAGTGCAGGCGAGATCCAGAGGCGCATGAAGAACCAGCGGTCGCGGCTCTGCCTAGCCGAGTATGAGAAGCTCGAGATTCCACAAGCATCGGGTCGGAAGGCACTGTTCCCTTCTTCTTACGGCGACAACTGGGCAGAGGATAATATGAGTGATGGTGGGAGCCATTTGGCAGCCAAGGTTGCGTTGGTTGAGGGACTGGGTCGGAGGGTTTTTGAGCTGCACATCAAGATCACAGGTAGTCAAAACATAGAAGCAGCAGCAATACAGTAAGTAGGTCATAAAGGAGGTCTTCTGGAGTAATAGTGTATATAGGCTTCTTTAAGTATAAACTTAAATAATATTATTATTAATCTAGAAGATATTAAAGAAATCTATCTAATTAATATAAATATTTAGATAGAAATAATCTAATTTATAATAACTTTAATAAAGTCTTTAATAATATTATTTAAGTAATTTTTACCTTTAATCTTTAATTTAAAGTCCTTTAATCTTAATAAGGCTAGCTATTTATTTAACCTCTACCACTAAAACCTACTAACTAATATACCCTTTTAATACAGCCTCTACAGGCTGTTTCAGTGCCAAGGAGGCAAGAAAACATAGGGCTTTTATTTAAGATAATAAAAACATCTTATATATATTAGTGTGAATTTAGTGGGTCTCGGACTGAGTATTTTTGGCACATAGGGAGTTTTCTTGCTGCCTGGACAATACTTACTTGAAACGAACCTCAGAGGATACATACAGACACGGACTGGTAGTTGCACCATAATATAATAAGTCAGAAGTCTCAAATGTCATATATAGCATAAATAATTCTATTAAAAGTATTCCACTAAAGAGCTGCCAAGAAATATTTACCATATAGGTTTTAAAAGATTTAATACCAATTGAGACCTGTGGTGGATTTCTCAAAACTGATCGTCTTGATGCCGCAGGTTCATAGCCATATGCAAATAAGAAATCCTGCCTCATCCTGGAACGTGAAAGTAATGAAGTAAAAGGTAGTGATTTAGAAATCAGAAATACAGCATTTATTTAATCTTAATTTTGCTATTGGCCGCTATGTAAAAGAGTGATTCCTACGGGCTCATTCATCATCATCCGCCAATGCTTGATCATACACATCGCCAGTCCGCCAATCGCTTGTCTAAGCACTCCCATATAAAACTATACATGATTCTCTGTAAATCGCAAGTCAAATTGATGAAACGTCATAGCGCACGGCTGCATCGAGGTAGTATAAACACCACTTCAATCATGGCAATGGGTATCAATTCGCCAACTACAAGCCAACATTAGCATATCACACGTTAGACCCAGATCCAAGAGAATTAACTTACACCAAAAGTAGCGATCTGAACAGCTTTCAAGCCCAACTTGACTTCCATGCCGTTTTCGCAATCCTCACAAAGGAAGATGATACGGAAACCCGCCCACATCTTCATCTTCTCCCTACCGCATTTGCCACAAGTTGGGGCGTCAGTTGCTTCTTTGATCACATACTTGACGCCTGCAACTGCGAGGGCTGGGATGAGGTGGAAGACCATGTTGATCTTTTCTTTTTGTAGATAATGTCTTGAGAGTGGGGGGTAATGGATAGGATGATGGGGGATGTGTCTGCCAGTACCTCAGCAAGAGATATCACGATGAGATTGAAGGGTTTGAGAAGTAGGCATGCAACTTGTGTGAGTTGATCATTTGTGTCTTTTTTTGAACCAGATGAGTCCCCTTTCTGGAGAGGCAATCTCAAGTATATATTAGTCACCTCTGGGATCACATCATGTGAGGCTGAATCCAGCCCCTTTTGGCGTACAACCACAGTCCTGCGATTCCAACATAGTTCATAGAGATGAGGTCCACTCGCAGCTCAGGGTTTCTGATCAGTATGCTTGCTGATAAGGTTATTTCACAAAGCAGGGGTAGGTCTGTGAGATGGTTGCATCGTTTGGGTGATAGCTGCCCCCAGAGACGCCAAATATTTACAGAACGCCCATGCATAAGCGAGGCTGAAAGAGCGGCGTTTTTAAAGCAGTTGTTTTGTTGTATCGCTTGATATGTCATCTGAACTAATGGAGGCAAATATGGCCGTCTAAAACCGCTAGTTTGACAGAACGCCCAAGCATGACCAACTAACCAGCAATGCCCGTGCATTAGCTACCATGTTTGAGGCTGAAAGCTTCTTTAGAGTGAAGGCTATCCTCCTTAAAACGGGGTTAAGACACAACTGTGCCTTTGCCCGGGCACTTTGGGCGCGTTGAAAGACTGCGTCGTTTCCACTGTATTCCCGTGTAAGTCGTGGTTTGTATGTATATGTATATATCCTCGATCATCCCTCCATCATTAACGCGACCTAAATACCCCAACCGCAAACTCGTCTCGATTCTACCAGGCTTTCAGCTGAACAACCCATCTATTTCAGCTTGACAAGCAATTCGCATCCCTTCCCATCCACCCTAATTCAACATGTCTTCAGAAACTCCTCCTCCACCACCAAAGGTCGAATATCCCACCAGCGTCGACAAACCTGAGCTTACAACAGGTGACAACCACACAGTTGGTGTTGACTACAACAATGGCGCCAGCTACGTCGACACAACTACAAACCAGCCAATTCACGACTCTGACGTTCATACAAGATTCTCTGGGTATGGTGATAGTGACGATGGGGATAGTGGTGGGATCGTGGAGGAGATTGTTGATGCTGTGACGGATAGCTGTGTGGTGATGTAGTCGGAAGGACTGGACTCCGTTTGAAGCTGGATTTTAATTACTACAGTCTGCTGTTCTCATCTTTTCATCTATCTGCACCGGTTGATACTCTGTCATTTTCGCCAAGTCTAAGACACTCATTCGATCGTTTTTGGCCCCTACTGTGCGTTCTTGTGCCTGAAGAATTACAGTGCTTGCATTCTTCGTAAAGCACCACACCAATTGAGCTTGAACTCTGATAAACCAGGTTGAAAATCAATAAGTAGATCAACAGTGACCTCCTCGTTAATGCTGATTGGGTAGATGCTATAACTTACACGCTATCGCAACTCAGCCGCACGAGCTGAACCCTCCATCTTCTTCCTGTTCCTCAAGTTTCAGGCTCCAAATGGGCTGATTTCAACTGCTGCAATTGCCGAATGAGTCCTACACTAAAACAAGGCTGCCTTCACGTGGTTAGCGTAGGCATATTTGCTACAAGAATGCCTCCTCGCAAATGTGCACTTTGACCGGTATCCAATAAGCTATCAGACTAATGCGTCGTGACAAAGTTGCTCAGACGTTTGGATCGCTAAACCTGCATATCGCTAACATGAGAGGGGTTCCAAGTGCTGAAAGGCCCCTGAGCCCCTCACTTCTCAAGACACGGAATGGTATGGGAAGGGCTGGACGTTTGACAGCCATGGTGTGATCTAGCCCATTCATGGGGACGCCAATATACGAACTACAAAACGCCCATGCATATATATCCAAATCTCGGTCCCCCACAGACTCTGCATGCATACCTTCATTCCCAAATCAGTCGCCCTAATGGATCCCCTCGCAAATCCCCAATCGGTTCTTACGATACCATCAAGCGAGGACTGGTCGCGCCTGCGGCCCCTCGTCAAAGAGCTCTACCACGATCGCAGGCTTTCTATGGCAGAGGTCAGGGATCATTTGAAATCGCTAGGATACAGGGTCAACACGCGCATGATCAGGGCTAGAATCAGCCAATGGAACCTGCAAAGAAACAACCAGTTCCACGGCATGGTTGCGGCTCTTCGCTTACTCGATCCAGACCCTGCGTCGTGGCCAGTCCCGGAACCCTGGTTTGTGATCCGAGGACGCCATGTTCCGTTGCATGAGATCCTGCGATACTTCAGACGGAAGGGCATACAGAACCCAATTCATTGGTGTCGCTCAGCTGCAGTATCCCAGGAAGAGCCACCTGTCAGGCTTCTTCAAGAGGGAGATAGTCCTGTGGAGGGTACGAGCGAAGGCAGTTCAACAATCGCTGCGCTATCCTCAGCCAGCAGCGTGGCCATGTCCATGTCTCCTGTTAATATTCCCACGCCAATATTCACCCTCGAGCAAAAGGCAGCTGCCAGTCTAACTGACTACTGCGGAGTCTACCTCAGCCATGAAATCCATCCAGAGCCAGAGGTTCATCAGTTCACTATACACGGGCGTTTCGGGAATCGCATGCAAGAAGGTCTAGCACAGATGGTGCGTGGAGGTCCAGGCGCATTTCCGCATTTCCATCAAGCTTTTGACCTTGTTCAGCCTCTTCTTTCTGACTGCCATCCAATGAGTCTTGCTCAACTGTTAGCCATCGTGTGTGAGCTCTCGGCGTGCAATGCACAAGAAGTATTGACATGCCTGCTCCGGTATTCGGCGGCGATGGCTTCGTCTTTGCGGACACCCTCCCCTCTCATCCAATTCTTGGTGTCCCTCTCCTTATTGCCACCTGCGCTACTGCAGTGCACGGCTATCTCGAGTCTTCGGGCTGCATTGGCAGTATTCTCCGATAAGTCCCCCCACACCTGGCATCGCCTCTATATCGAGGAGCGACTCTGTGACTGCCTTTACCACGGTCGAGACCGTATTGAAGGTGGATACCGTCGAGCTCAGCTTTTGCGGAACCAAGAATCGTTCTATGGACCATCCGCACGAAACGTTGTCTGGACTGTCACCAATGTCGCAGATGATCACCTAGATGGCGGTGATCTAGACGGCGCACAGTCGTACTACAGGATGGCTTTGGAACGGGCTGAACAGCTCAGTGGTTTCCCAAGGGCCAAGCTGCGCTACGCTACTCTAGAAGGCCTAGGCAGAATAGAGCAGATGCGCTTTGAGATCACGCGCCATGATCGAGAGACTTGTTTACGACACTTGCAGGAAGCATCTCGATATGTTGATGAGTCATTGAATGAAGCACTGATATGGTTTGAGCCAACAAGTAGGCGTGTAAGTCGAGTAACAGAACAACAGGGGTATATCAGGAATATTTTACACTGCCTCGGGTGAGATTTGTCAGGTTCTGCTAGATTACCTCTATTTCAACAAAATTGGAACTCTCCAGAATCCACGGTATTACTTGATCATCATCATCTGTCTCCTGAATGTCAATGTGGAAATAGCCAACGCGTCTGTATCGACGTTCATGTTCTGGGACAGGCGTCAGAACAATCCCCACATGCGTATCTAAACTTTGAGAAGAGCCCATCCTTTGTTGGGCTCCGGAAGCGCAAGCTATGAGGAAGCTGTACAACTCGATGTTGTTCGGGAGGTCGTAGTCTGGATGAAATGGGCATTGGCGGTGGATATGTCGTATCCCTCGGCAATTCCTATGGACACAAATATCTTTGTGCATTCTAGAAGCAGAATTCTGACCATATTTTAACGAATCCGGAGCACCAGGCCGTAATAAGCCTGAAACCTTGACGCAATGTTTCGTTGCATCTACCAGTAGACCACGGCCTACAAAGTCTGTTGCATCAGGCAGACCGATGATGTCCGCGAGAAGGGAAACTTGTGTGGCAGGCTCATGAATGATCTGCGGTCCTTGTACATCAATGCTGGCCCAAGACCAAGTCGGCGACCTCTCATGACAAGGTGTGCCTCTTCCTCCCCTGACATACCATAGCAAATCCCGGAGTAGATGCTCCTGCCACAGCCCAAATGACCAGGTGAGTTGTGATTTGATCTGAACTTGCTTTGCAAGACCAGCCAGAGCAACCAATAAGTCTGACTTGCGGCTCAGATTCGTTGTCGAGTACTTCCTGACGAGCTCATGCCAGAAGGAGAGAAATGCATCGTGGGCAGAATCATCAAGCCCGTAGGGTCCGAACATGGAAAACAGAACTTGATAATCTGCTTTGGCAATGGCGCCGCTGTGATAGCATGCGTCAGATCCTCCCATAGCTCCGCAACGGAGTTCAGTCCTACACTCGAGATGAACGAAGTTGCGAGTCAAGTGCACAGTCCGAGGCGACAATATTCGCTCCTGGAACACCCACGCTCTGGTATCGAGGTGAAAGCGCGCTTTATCGAAAGGGTGCAACAAACAGTGTGGAGTGCATGGCGGAACGACTTCATAGTAGAGATTCGTGCTCGCGTCCAGGCGACAAGATAGTTGGTTCAAGGGATTTCGTGGCACGATCATGCTTGAGTTGCCATCAAAGCATTCGGCTGCCGCGATGGTGACAGCTGCGTTCCCGAAAATGTCGTTCATCTTGCCTGCCTGGTCAACCCAGTCGTCCGACGCTACAGAGGATTGACTTCCATCTTGCATGATGCAAAGGGCATCGATCCATAGATACCTAAACCCGAGACCCCTAACCACTTGAATAGAGTCTTGTAGTAATTTCGGCAAATCTTTGACGTGAATTTCTTTTTGAAACGCCGCCAAATTAGAGGATGTCATGACACAGGGCTTACTGAATCCCCAGCTGTAACTCAGGGCACAGTATTCTTTGGTGTGATCATTATTGGCCTCGATAATCCGTATTTTCTCGACATTCTGGAAAGCCAAAAGATCTAGCAAACGCCGCGGTCGTGCCTTTGTTTCTGTGGAACCAAGATTCAGGCTCAAAAGATCGTCGCCGCACAGGATATGAGTACTCTGGCATTCAGTAATCCAAGATCGGATGAAGTTGGCAGTTGCATCGGAATAGGTTGTAGACTGTAGCGTCGATAAAAGGTGTTGATTGCCAGGTTTTATGCCCCCAAGGTTCTCTACCATAGATTAGCCCTGAGATTTCAAGGGCCCAATAAGTAATACCTGTGACTGGGCGTAGTTGCAAAGTATAATCGCTGAGTATTTGATCATGGCTAAAGATCCTTGACTCTTCGCAGGGAAACAGCGTAAGGAGAAAGGTACCAGCATCTGTGTCCAACATTGCTATTGAGATGTAGATAGGGCCATTCTGGTCACCAGAAAACTGTCGATCACCATGATCTCCGGTGCATCCTACAACGGCTCCAACGATGATGGAGCAGAAGTGGCAGCCTCGCGAAGCAGCGGATAGAACGTCGGTGCGGCTGGGAGAGAAGAGAAGATGCTGTGGCATCGATGGGACGCCTTCTCCGCCGCTGAGAAGGACCTCAGGTCGGAATTTGAGGCATGTTGTACTCTCCCAGAAAGATGTACAGAGGGAGCAGAGAGTATGAGGTTGTAAAGTTCTGACATCAGATTTGTTGTCTGACATACTGGACGAGCTGGCTTGGTTCTTGTGAATGAGGCGACAGTATCTGATACCGGGAGATAGCCTATGGCAGGAACCTGAGATGTAGGACTTGGTGTTATCACGCATGAAGCCTCACACGTGATGTACCCAGCCAGTCAGTTCTCTTGGGGGTCGCATCGCCTAGCGCATCTTGTTGACATGGGATAAAGGTGTGGCGGCATCACTGAACATGGGAGGCTGATTTTGTAGCCAAGGTTCATCGTGTCGGGAAGGGGAAAAAGAAAAGGTTAATGAGAGCGAGCCTGTAAGATGCTAAAGCCTGGCGACGCAGCTTGTGAGGATAAAGATGTGAAGGGAAGCACCAAGGACACTTGAGGTGGGAGTACGCTTACCCCAGATATTATCCCGTCCGTCCTGGTGGAGCCTCGAATGCGATCGCATTCAGAGAGGGTCCACTACGAGCAACACCATGGGCAAGGGTCCTTTGACAGGAAACGAGCCACGGCCTTAGCAGAAACGTCACGACGGAAACAATGTCATATTTTAGGGAGTTCTTGTTATATAAATACCCCTTCTTCACCTCCTGTGGCTCATACCCGAAGATAATTTGCAATGTGCGACTTTTCCGACTACAATGTCACAAACAACCTCCCAGGCCCCTGGACCAGCCATGCCAATTACACAACTTGACGGTATCAACGACAGAGGCTCAGCGGCAAACCAAGTTTGCAATCAACACCACTCTGTTCGAGAAACGCCGGTCTCCAACTTAGGTAACATCCATGACGCTTCCAGCTCCGATGAACCCGGCATCCAGAGTCCCAAATCGAAGAAGACTCTGCTTCAGATCGCAACGGTCATGTCCTCACTCTGCGCCTGTGTCTTCCTCGCCGCACTTGAATTGACAATTGTGTCAACGGCACTTCCAACCATCGCCGCCCATTTTGCATCTGATTCGGGTTATACTTGGATAGGCACATCTTTTGTCCTCGCCCACACTGCCTCGACACCACCCTGGGGCAAGATTTCCGATATCTGGGGTAGAAAACCCATATTACTCGTCGCCAATGTCATATTCTTTGCGGGTAGCCTTGTTTGTGCTCTGGTTGATGACCTGGCGGTCTTTATCGCTGGGCGGGCCATTCAAGGATTGGGCGCTGCTGGGATGCAAACGCTGGTGAATATCTGTATCAGCGATATGTTCTCACAACGGGACCGGGGGCTATACTATGGACTGACATCGATTGTCTGGGCCGTTGCGTCTGGAATTGGTCCTGTACTTGGAGGCGCACTTACGGATCGGTTGAAGTAAGTCCGTGTATGTTGTTCGGTATTCTTACTAACAGTGTCCAGTTGGAGATGGTGTTTTTGGATCAACTGTAAGTTTCACCAACAAATCTTTCGAGCTATAGCTGATATCCATAGTACCAATCACCGCTGCAGTCTTTGTTCTCTTATTCTTCACCCTCAAACTCCCATCTCCCAACACCCCTGTTTGGGCAGGCCTGAGAGCCATCGACTGGCCCGGCAGCTTTCTCATCATAGGAGGGACTCTAATGCTGCTACTCGGTCTTTACCTTGGCGGCGTGTACGAGCCTTGGAACTCTGCAACAGTGGTGTCTCTCATAGTTTTTGGTGTGGTCACTGGCGTGTTGTTCATATGGAATGAGTGGAAGTTGGCAGAGTTTCCTGTTTTGCCAGTACATCTCTTCAAGACCTGTTCATCCTCTTCAGCATACGCCGTCACATTCTTCCATGCGTTTGTGTTTCTCGGTGTTGCCTATTACCTCCCGTTATACTTTCAAGCAGTTCTCCTAGCGAGCCCACTGCGCTCGGGTGTGTTACTTCTCCCTTTCATCTTACCCATCTCGATTTCTGCTGCTCTTACTGGGGCCTACATCCAGTTCAGTGGCAAGTATCTTCTTGTCTCTCGTGTCGGGTTGATGATCATGACACTGGGAATGGGCCTGATGATCAACCTGGAAATTGACATGAACTGGGCAAAATTGATCTCTTTCCAGACACTGACAGGAATTGGGGTTGGCTTGAACTTTGAAGGTCCCTTGTTGTCTGTTCAGGCTGTTGTGCCGCATAAGGACGTTGCGGCCGCGACCACGGCGATGGGCTTTATCCGAACACTGGCCTCAGGGATATCCGTTGTCATTGGCGGGATACTTTTCCAGAACGGAATGAAAGGCGAATATCAGACTCTTGAAGATAGTCTGGGTCCCGACCTAGCCAGGTTGTTCAATGGTGCGTCTGCGTCTGCGAGCGTTGATCTGATCAAGACCTTACCGACAGAGTCGCAGCTTGTCGTGAGGACAGCATTCTTCAATGCTCTCGACAAGATTTGGATAATGGTACGGAAACCGACCGATTCCTAATTCTTTTTTCATACTGATTTTCGACAGTATACTGCATTCTCCGGTATTGGTTTGTTGCTCAGTTTCTTTATGAAAGCGCATCATCTCAGCAAAGATCATCAGGAAGCGCACTTGGGCATTCTCAATGAGGCGCGGGAATCAGACCAGGCAGGCGAGGTTGACTTTTCGACAGGCACCAGCGAGAGTCAGGAAATGCGATGCACCACTCCTAGACCCCGAGGTGTGTCAACAGCCTGATATGAAATAGCCAAGGAAGAGGATAGCATGACACTGCGATTTGTGGAAATTTATGAGCAGACATCATTTGAACTGGAAGTTTAACCAAACTATTCTCATCAATTTCAGAAACATGTTCATGCTTGCTTTGACTGATCGCGGCGATCATTGATGCGATTTTGGGCCACTTACACCTGTCCGTGCTCAGCACAGTATAAGGGGGCTATTCGCACCTCCTAGCTTGGCTGTTATCTTTTGACCACGACTTAACTTTCTGTTCACGCAAGAGTCATCATTCCTCAGAAACAATTGAACCTTAAAAATCCGATGCCTGTGAAGCTACGGAAGTAGATTGACGCGGTGCGTGTCTCTTCTCAGTTATCATTCCATCCTGCAAGAGCAGAGATGAATGAGCCATGTTCAACCAACACCTCCAACAGAAGAGATGCTTCATCATCGCTCGACGGTCAACCAGACGGCTTCACAGAGCATGGAGATGACAACAATCCAAACCTTCCGCTCTTACATAGTCACAGACATCCTTCTACGTCCGGCAGTACCCTGTCGACTCCAGAGAACACTCTCGACGATGAAGAGGCAAACATAGTATTGGCCAAGATTGACAGAGCCATCATTCCATTATTGTTCATAAGCTATATGCTGAATTTCATGGACAAGGTCATTCTATCCAGTGCCGCTGTTTTTGGACTAAGAGAGGATACTGTATGTCCACCATTCGATCTCAGCCCTACAATACTGACATTGTTGCAGCATCTCAAAGGCCAGCAATACAGCTGGGTTGGCAGCGTCTTTTACCTAGGCTATCTCCTATGGACGTATCCAACAACTGTTCTCATTACACGTCTTCCAACTGCGAAATATCTTACAGTAAACACACTATTTTGGGGCTTGGTCGTTGCACTCACTGCGGCGTGCCATAACTTCAGCGGCCTCTTGGTCACCCGGTTTCTCCTGGGCGTCGCAGAGGCTACGATAACGCCCGGTTTCATGTTTCTGACTTCAACTTGGTATACCCGCGATGAGATGCCGACTCGTGTTGGAATCTGGTTTTCTGGAAACTCCGTTGGAGGTCTGGTAGCCAGTCTGCTTGCATTTGCAGTTGGTCACATCGATGGAGCATCGATACAACCTTGGAGGTGGATGTACATCATCTTGGGCACCACGACTTTTACGTGGGCAATACCTTTGTTTTTTCTTCTTCCAGACAACATTTCTAAAGCTCCTTTCCTCACGCCCAAGGAGAGAAGGATCGCGGCACAGCGTGTAGAATCTTCTGGTACTGGTGCGACTGAACATACGAAATGGAAATGGGACCAGGTCCGTGAGTGCTTGATTGACCCCAAGTCTTGGTTCATCGTGGGTATCGAGCTATTCACGCAGATTCCGAACGGCGGATCACAAAGCTTTGCGAATATCGTGGTCGAGTCTTTCGGATTCACGAATTTGCAATCCACACTCATCAACATACCTTACTCACTTCTATCAGCAGGTATCATATCAGGAAGCGGATACCTGGCTGGCCGATTCCGCACGTTGAACTGCATTTTGATCGTCTTTGTTATCATGCCATGTGTTATTGGCAGTGCAATCATTTACAAACGAGACAATGTGCCTCACAGCATCCATCTTTTTGCCTACTTCCTCCTCTCGAGCGGATCTGCAGCAATGCCTCTCAACATGGCACTTGTACAATCGAATTATCGAGGCGTTACCAAGAAGATGACCATAACGGCCATGCTGTTCATCACATATTGTGTTGGAAATATGGCAGGTCCGCATTTCTTCCTGAAGTCTGAGGATCCATTGTATGAGACCGCATTCAAGGCTATCACTGTCTGTTACAGCTTGGCTACAGTCTGTGCTGTATGCTTAAGAACCTATCTCAAAGGTTTGAATGAAAGACGAACAAGAGAAGAGGGTATCGTTGGAAGTGCTGGCTCAGGGGGTGTTGTACGAGGGGATGTTCAGGGGCATCGAGATTTCTCGGACCCTGAATCAGATGTGACGGATTGGCAGGTTGTCGGTTTCAGATATAGACTTTGATCAATCCTCTTTTATTCACTCCGATACTATTAAACTCACGCATGGGTGATTTTCTGGCCGTCATTGCAGGACGCTGTGGCCTGGGACTGGCGACAACCTCGTCTGGATATCTCAATAGAAAGATCAAGGCATCCAACCTACCAGGATTGAAGCTTTATTTTACAGTTCATAGCAGCAAAATAAATATGTTATTCAAAATAACCGCAAAGCTTACGCCGTTGTTATACCTTTCCCAGAAAAACTTTAATTGTTCACTGTCATATAAGACCTCTTCATTCCCTTCGCCCACATTGCTACCTAGTCTCGTCTTCAACTGATTCAGGTAAGTCACGTGGGTCTCCGGCTGAGTGTTTCACCGACCCGTCAAATCGCCCCATATCATTTGAAAGCACCAAGGCACCCACTCTGAACTTTCGACATCCACAACGAAAGTCCAGCTCTTTTTCTGGACCATCAATACCTTTTTCTCATCGCATCAGAAGTTTGATCGCGTATCGCTCGAAAATGTCGTGGAGAAGCCAAGGAATCACCGGTTCCAACAACATCCCTCTCGGGAAGCGTCGCTTTGGAGATGAGGAGGAGGAGTTTAATGGCAACGCTGGAGTCGATCGCGACTTGAAGCGTGGACGCGATCCCGAGCCTCGCGGCGACGCTGATGGACCTCGACGACGAAAGAAGCGAAACCGATGGGGTGATGCATCCGAGAACAAAGCGGCTGGCCTCATGGGCTTGCCCACTGCCATCTTGTCCAACATGACAAGTGAGCAGCTTGAGGCCTACACACTGCATTTGCGTATCGAGGAAATCTCCCAGAAGCTTCGCATCGACGATGTCGTCCCAGCTGACGGCGATCGGTAAGTTTTTTCTTCGTCCATATATACATGCAATGCTAACTCATGACAGATCTCCTTCTCCCGCTCCTCAGTACGATAACCACGGTCGACGTATCAATACACGAGAGTACCGATACCGAAAGAAGCTTGAAGATGAGCGCCACAAGCTCATCGAGAAGGCCATGAAGACCATTCCTAATTACCACCCGCCACAGGATTACCGTAGACCTACTAAGACTCAGGAGAAGGTCTATGTTCCTGTTAACGATTATCCGGAAATTAACTTCAGTATGATTGCTAACCCTTTAACCCTACTTACCAAAATTATCCCCTGTTTTTGTTTTCCTTTTGGAGTTTGATCAGACTCACCATCACACCCGGTGGTGTTTGAGGCCTGGTCCTTCATCGAATGGACTAACCCTTGCACGTTCATCTAATCTTTGCGAATCAGACACTAACACTAGCTCTCTCGTACTAAAGTTGGTTTACTTATCGGACCTCGAGGTAACACTCTGAAGAAAATGGAGGGAGACTCAGGTGCCAAGATCGCCATTCGTGGCAAGGGCTCCGTAAAGGAGGGTAAGGGTCGGTCTGATGCCGCGCATGCAAGCAACCAGGAAGAAGATTTGCACTGTCTCATCATGGCCGATACCGAAGAAAAGGTCAACAAGGCCAAGAAGCTCATCCACAACGTCATTGAGACTGTAAGTCTGCCCTCAAGCCCCATAAGATCTATACTAACACAGTCCAGGCTGCGTCTATTCCTGAAGGCCAGAACGAACTCAAGCGTAACCAGCTCCGAGAACTCGCTGCCCTTAACGGTACCCTCCGAGACGACGAGAACCAGGCTTGCCAGAACTGTGGTAAGATCGGACATCGCAAGTACGACTGCCCTGAGAAGCAAAACTTCACTGCGAGCATCATCTGTCGCGTTTGTGGCAACGCTGGTCATATGGCTCGCGATTGTCCCGACCGACAGCGTGGTGCTAGCTGGCGCAACAACGATGCTGCTGCTCGCCCTGCTGGTCGTATCGGTGGCGGAGATGATGTTGACCGTGAATACGAGGTAAGAATCCGCTGTTTCTCCCTACTTATACAATACTAACACACATTAGCAACTCATGCAAGAGCTTGGTGGAGGGTCTTCTGGAGCTCCTGCGCGTATCGAGGCCGGCCCTGGCGCTCAGAACAACGGAGACGCGAAGCCTTGGCAGCGAGGCCCTACTGGTGGACCTGCACCATGGCGCAGCCGCAACCAGGATTCTAACGAAGGTGGATCGGCAGCTCCCTGGGCTAGAGATCGCGGTGGTCGCAACGACGATCATCAAGGCGGTAACGCTGGTGACAGCTACTACGGACAGGCTTACGCAGGTGCTTCAGGTGCCGCTGCTCCCTGGGCACAACAGGCTCCTGGAACTCAGGGTGGGTATGCTGGTTATCCTGGCTATGGTGCCTACGGTGCTGCTCCCGGAATGGGAGCTCCTCCTGGTCTTGGTGCCCCCGGCAGTGCGCCTCCTGCTCCTCCTGGTGCTCCCCCAGGCCTGGGAGACATTAACGCCTTTATTCAGCAATATGCCGGCGCTGCACCTCCTCCTCCGCCGCCTTCTGGAGATGCCCCGCCACCACCTCCCAGTGATCAGCCTCCGCCTCCCCCGCCTCCGGGTGCTTAAATGAGCAGACTAACGAGGCTGGTTGGTTTTGGGGACTTTCTGACACAGCTTTAAACCTCAACTATAGTTTAAGAATCGATATATAACCGGACACCGACAACGGAGGATAAGCGATCGTTTCTAACGTGGCAGCGAACTAACCACTGACTGCAATATGAGACTGCGTTTTATTGCTTTATATGAACGAGCTTTGATGTTCAGCTTGTGTTTTGCGAGATAATTCACTAAAAGCAAGGAACTAATCGCGTAGGCAATTTGTACTTGATAATTGAGTCGTTTTATTTATGATCTGTGTCTCCTATCGCTGTGATCTTTCTGGAGACTGTCTCCAACTGTGAAATGCCCTGTCTAGGGGAGGAAAGACAACTCAGGACCTTGATCCTAAATGACAGAAAGACTAAGGTAACTTGGTACAAGTTTAGGATACCTATTGCTGGGCTCATTTTAATACCCT